GTAGCATAAGTCAGCCGCAACAGGGAACCCCATTACTCTGCTCTCCTCCCAGTTCGCTTGCGTTTCCTTCTTCCTTCTCTTTCCTTCCTTAGATAATTTCTCCTTTCTTCTTCCTTTCTTTCCCTTCCCAATAGCTTCCCCATTGTTGAAAAATAGGGAGGAAGTAATCTTTCAAAAATAACCATAATTAATAAAAAACTAAACAAAAACAAAACCTCCCCTTTCCCTCTCCCTGTTTAATATCATAAAACATTCCAAAAAGCAGGTGGTTTTAGAATGAAAGTCTTTAATTATTTATACAGAATGAAAATGCTCCCCCATAAGAGCAAAAGCTATCCAACAAAATCCCTAATGTCAAGCATAGGAATCCTCTCGTCTACTTGTTGGTCAAGAAAGAGAAAGAGAGGCCTATTACCATTGCTTTTGGGTGCTTCCCAGAATTTGAAGGTAAAATTCTATTGCTAAAGACATCACACACAGGACTTGGAAGAATTGAGCTGGAACTTAAATCCTCCATCCCTGAAGACTAACTTTCATAGCATGTAAGCTGCCAAAATAGAAAATCAACAGTCCTACAAAGTTGTTAAACGTATAAAACACAACAATGACCAGCTTGCAAATAATCTCCAATAGTAGCACTTTTATCTTGGGCGTGACCAACAACTGTCTAATTGGACCTAATTTCTGCTCAATCAGAGTGAATTCATGCTTGATACTGTAAGCCTAGGCAACCACCAGTGACTCAAGGGATCAACACCTTAGACGAGAACTTACCACTAGCATTTCCTTGAACCAATATAATTTCTGACTTTTTTTGAAAGAACTTTGTATCCACACACTAGTGAGGCTATCTCCCCCTCACCAAAGAAGTTTCTTTTCATACCTGCTGAGGAACATTACAACAATTCACAATAGATACAAATTGAAAGAGTAAGTGACTGAGGGGTGCCTAGCTACAATGACATCTACAGCTCTTAGGCTCAGGGAACATCACAGAATCATAAGGACCAGACCACTTGCTGCAAGATAGTGTCTTTTAGATTCCACAGAAAAGCAGTACCCCTGATATTCCAACAATATTGTTGCCTAGGTATAGCCCACATAATGAAAAACATCACTTGACATGCTAATATGGATGGTGAAAATTTCACGAGGCCACTACCCTATACAAAGCAAGTCAATGGGTGCTGGAGAGAGAGAGAGAGAGAGAGAGAGAGAGAGATGAATGGGTAACATTGATGGGGGTAATGACCTTTATTGGTAGACAAGACAGCTGAAATTTGATCCCAAAAACTCACATGGTAGGAGAAAACAGATGACCCTGGGTAGTTCCTTAATTTGAACATGTGTGTCATGTCACATGAGTACCCAACACATAGAGAATAAATAAACAAACAAACAAATATATAATCAAATATTGTTCTTAAAAGGACACAGAAGGGTTATTTTATATACTTGTGCACATAAATATGTGCATATATACATACATAAACAATTTTTATCTAGCAATAAAAGAAAAAGTCTACTCATTTGAGAGTGGGGTTGGCATGATAGAATTTGGAGAAAAGGTACCCGAGAGGGGCTAGAGAGAGATAAAGGAGAGGTAAAAGTGATACAATTCCTTTTTTTAAAAAAAGAAAATACTTATTTATTTATTGTTTCTTTCTTTGTTTTGCATCCTGGCTGCAGTTTCCATTCCCTCCTCTGCTCCCAGTCTCTCTTTCCACCACCTTTCTATTCTCACCCTCTCAATCCACTTCTCCTCCATTTCTATTGAGGAAACAGTAGATCTCCATTGAGTATCAACAAAACATGGCATATCAAGTTACAGTAAGTCTAAGCATTTCACCATGTATTAAGACTGGACAAGGCAACCCAGTATGAGGAGTACGGTCCCAAAAGCCAGCAAAAGAGTTGGAGACAGCCCATGTACCAACTGTTAGGAGTCCCACAAGAGGGTCAAGCTACACAACTCTAATAAGTATACAGAATGCCTAGCTCAGTCCAATGCAGGTTCCTTGGTTGTAGGTTCAGTCTCTGTGAGCCCCTATAAGCCCAGGTTAGTCAATTCTGTGGGTTTTCTTGTATCCATGACACCTCTAGCTCCTTCAATCCTTTCTCCTTTCTTTTAGGAGATTCCCTGAGCTCTGACTAATGTTTGGCTGTGAGTCTGTATCTGTTTCCATCAGTTGCTGGATGAGGCCTCTGATGAGAACTGGATTAGGCAACAACATATGTGTATAGCAGGATATTGTTAGGCATCAATACATTGACTTTTTTTTTTTCATCTAGTCATATTTAGTTCTATCCTAGGTCTCTGGATCATGCAGCCTCTGGATCCTGGTGCTCCAGGCAGTCTCAGAGTTGTGCTTATTCTCCTGGAATGGGTTGTAAAGCTAGACCAGTCACAAGTTGGCCACTCCCTCAATCTCTAGGCCACACTTACCCCAGCACATCCCATAGGTAGGACAGACTGTGGATCAAAGGTTATGTCACTGGGTTGGTTTTCAACTCTCTCCTTTTGAAGTCTTGCCTGGTCACAGGAGATCACCAGTTCAGGCTACATCCACTATTGCTAGAAGTCTTAGCTGGGGTCATCTTTGTAGACTTCCAGGCAAGTCCCTTGTGCCAGGCTTTTACATGATTCAAAATGCCCCCCTCTTTTCAGTAGATTAGTAGACTCTTTCAATACTATCCTCCCTTTGCCCTCTCTCAAACTGATCCTTCATGTTCCCATCCCAACCCATACACAGTCCACTCACAAAAGCTCTTCTATTTCATCTTCCCAGGGAGAATCAGTTGTCCACCTTTGAACCATCCTTGTCACCTACATCCTCTGAGGCTGGGTATTATAGCTTGGTTAGCTTTTATTTTACAGATAATATCCACTTATGTGTGAGTACATGCCATGTTTGTGTTTCTGGGTATGAGTTACCTCACTCAGGATGATTTCTTTTTCTATTTCTGTCTAGTTGCCTGCAAATTTCATGATGTCCCTGTTTTTACTAGCTGAGTAATACTCCATTGTGTAAATACACCATATTTTCTTTATCCATTCTTTATTTGACAGACATCTAGGTTGTTTCCAGGTTCTGGCTATTACAAATAAAGCTACTATGAACATAGTTGAGCAAGTGTCCTTGTGGTATGATTGAGCATCTTTGCATATATGCCCAAGAGTGGTATAGCTGGGTCTTGTGGTGGATTGATTCTCAGTTTTCTGAGAAACAGCCATATTGATTTCCAAAGTGACTACAAGTTTTCACTCCCACCAGCAGTGGAGGAGTGTTCCTCTTACTCCACATCCTGTCTAACAGGAACTGTCACTTGTATTTTAGATCTTTTCCATTTTGACAGGTGTAAGGTGGAATCTCAGAGTCATTTTTATTTGCATTTCCTTGATGGCTAAGGCATGTTAAGTTTTTCTTGGCCAGTTGAGATTTTTCTGTGGATAATTCTCTGTTTAGATTTGTTCCTTATTTTTAACTGGGTTATTTGGTTTATTGATGTCTACTTTCTTGAGTTCTTTATATATTTTGGAAATCATCTTTCTATGGGCTTGGTGAAGATCTTTTTCCAAGTTAAGTGTGAGTTAAGCTTTAGTAGAGTTTCCTTTATAAATGTGGATGCCCTGGCATTTGGGGAATAGAGGTTAAGAATTGATGCGTCATCTCAGGGATCTTTCTTTGATGAGTATGAAGTGTCTTTCTCTGTCTCTTCTGGTTAATTTTTGCTTGAAGTACATTTTGTTAGATATTAGAATGGCTATACCAGACTGCTGCTTGGGACCATTTGCTTGGAAATTCTTTTTCCAACTCTTTACTCTGAGGTAATGTCTATCTTTGATGTTGAGGTGCGTTTCTTATATGCAGCAGAAGGATGGATATTGTTTAAGAATCCTTTCTATTGGCCTGTGTCTTCTTTGGGGAGATTGATTTCATTGATATTGAGAGATATTAATGACCAATGATTGTTACTCCCTGTTGTTTTGTTGCTGTTATTGTTGGTTTTGTGTGTGTGTGTGTGTGTGTGTGTGTGTGTGTGTGTGTGTGTGTGTGTGTGCGTGTGTTTCCCTTATTTTGCTTTTGCTTGTATGAGATTATTTACTTCCTGTGTTTTCATGGATATAGTTAACCTTGTTGAGTTCAAGTTCTTCTTGTATGTTCAGTTTTCCTGAATTTCTGGATATACATTGTTTCAATTTGACTTTCTCATTCAATATTTTGTTTTCTCAATCTATGGTGTTCAAAAGTTTTGCTGGGTATACTAATCTAGGCTGATAACTGGTATCTCTTAGAGTTTGCAGGGCATCTGCCTAGGCTCTTCTGGTTTAAGAGTCTCTGCTGAGAAAATAAATTTTAATAGGTCTGCCTTTATATGTTACTTGTCCTTTTTCCCTTTAGGGAAAACTAGGTGTGCTCTCAGAGACTTTTGGTGGTCCTTAACTTGTTTATAAGGCTTAAATGGATCAACCAAGTCCACTAGACAATGGGGAAGGGAAAAGGAAATCCCACTTTTGAGAGGTTCCAATTCTAAGTAACAAAAATTATTTTAGAAGCTATCAGAATTCAGAAACTCCTCCCATGATCATATCTTCTATAACCTGTCATCAAGAAATGTACCAATTGAGATGATCTTTAGAATATGCATCTCAAAATATGTTGCAAAGTAGAAAGCTGAAGAAACATACACACTCCTTCCTCATCACCTGTTTTTGTGCTATTATGGCCAGGATTCTTAGTCATATATGCTTAGTAGAAAGGGAAGACCAACATTTATCTATTATGAGGATGTTTTTGTTTGTTTCTTTTTCCATGTTCATTATACAGAAGAAACCCTTTAAGACAGTGGTTCACAACCTTCCTAATACTACAGCCCTTTAATACAAGTCCTCATATTCTTGTAACCCCCAACCATAAAATTATTTTTGTTGCTTCCTAACTGTAATTTTGCTACTGTTATGAATTGTAATGTAAATATCTGTTTGCTGATGGTCTTAGGTACCCCTGTGAAAAGGCCATTTGATCCCACTGGAGGACAACTCACAGGTTGAGAACCACTGCTTTAGGGCATCACATGTTGATCCTGAGGCAGACCTGCAGGTAAAGAGTGGGGCTCTGGAATAAGCTTACTGGATTACAGTGTAGCTATGCTGCTTATTTTGCTGAACTTGGTGTGGTGGTTTGAATAAGAATAGCTCCTATAAATTATATTGGAATGCTTAGGGAGTGCCATTAGGAGGTGTGGCCATGTTGGAGGAAGTGTGTCACTGGAGTGGGTTTTGGAGTTTCAGATGCCTAAGCCAAACCCAGTGGCTCTTTCTCTTTCTGCTGTCTGACAATCTAATTTAGAACTCTTGACTCCTTTTCTAGCATCATGTCTGCCTGCACACCACCAAGCTTCCTACCATGAAAATAATGGACTAAACCTCTAATCCTGTAAGCCAGCCCCAATTAAATGTTTTCCTTTATAAGAGTGGCTGTTGTCGTCCTGTCTCCTCATAGCAATAGAAATGCTAACTAAGACACCTTTCAATGCTACTTAGTGTCTGAACACGTAATGTTCTTTATATGGGAATAACATTGATGCACAGAATTGTTTACAGGACTGGGAAATAATATAGACCATAGACTCTGTTTTCCTCTCTCTCTCTCTCTCTCTCTCTCTCTCTCTCTCTCTCTCTCTCTCTCTCTCTCTCTCTCTCTCGCACACACACACACACACACAACTTAAAACTGCCTATATATTATAAATATTGTTTAATTACTTACTGCTGTTAGTGTTAATAGGTTCAAGCTCTCTAGTAGCTGGGCTCATGTTCACTTTCTTGCCTCTTGAGTGTCTTCTGTTGCACTTTCTATGTCTCTGCTCCTCTAACGTCAAATGATATTTTAGTCCCATACTCTATTATTCTTCCTTCTTGTCTCTGAGCATGCTGCACTGTGGGTCACCACGGAACATTCACCAGGCACAGTGTATTTTCTATTAAGTCCCTGCCAGGGAAAATGGAGCACTGCTCCATTTGTGTCCCCAGACAAACATTTTGTACAAAGTTCTTCATTATTCTTCCTCTCTCTCTTTCCCTAGATATGAACCTTTCAAGGGCAAGGAGAATGTGTTAGCAACCCTGATATTCATAGCACCCAGCCACCCTCGGTTATATAGAAGGCATTTAGAAGAGTGGATGCTGAATTAATGTGGGCTTAAAGACCCAGTTGAGTAATTGTGAAACCATAAAATTCTATTTGAAGTACGGCCACAGGAATTGACTCTGTGACCTCTTCTGGAAGCAAATCTCATTTATTACCATAGATGGCATAAAGTAATTGTCACTATTTGTTCAAAAGTCATTGTCTTTTAATCACATCTAGTGATTTAAATCACGGGGTATGATTCTGTTAAGAGAATGGAGTCTTGAATATACCAAAGATGGTACCAGAAATATCACTTAATGTCCTCTAAAGTTTTTTTTTCAATGTAATATTTCCTTTCCTATTCTTTTGATATATATATATATATAATGTAGTGCTATGATTAATGGTTTTCTGTCTCTTTGGTCAACTATGTGAACATTAATTGAAAAAATGTAAAACTAATAGGTATTTTTGTCCTTTGGTAAATTTTACTCAAATGTGCTTTAGTGTCCTGTGTAAATATTCAAGCATTTATACATAGAAAAGAAGTAACGTATTTTACTGTATCGATATTTTGACCCATGAAGTGTCCTGGATGGTAAAAGGGCTTTGCCACAAACCCAATGACCTGACTTTGAGGCCCAGAAACCAAATAGTGGAAGCAATGCACCAAGTCACATGAATTGTTCTTTGACCTCCACATACATGCTGTGGTACATGCACTCTCACATCTACAGATATGAATGCGTGCACACACACACACACACACACACACACACACACACACACACACACACATTCACACACACTAAATAAATCTAAACATTGAGGAAATAGTAAAATTGATTCTGGAAAGATGGCTCAGTAGTTAATAGTACTGGCTGATCTTCCAATGACGACTCATATTTAATTTTCAGCTTCCATATGGCTGCTCAGAATCCCCTGTAACTCTAGTTCCAGGGAATCTGAACCTGGAATCTAAACACTTTTATCCTCAATAGGCAACAGACACACAATAAGTACACAGATATGCTTGCAGGCAAAATATCCATACACATAAAATGAAAAAAATTAAAGATTAAAGGAAATGATAAAATTAACCAAATTTACATTATCTCACAAATCCAAACATCTTCTCTGATTGAAATATCAATAATTTAACTGCCTCCATTCAACAATTACAATGGACTTTTGTCTGGTCATGGTTTCCATTTTAATCAAATCATGTTAGTCCTCTAGTCCACCTCCCTCTATCCCACAGTGCTTTGAGAAAAATCTGAGCTCTTAGAATGAAATTTGAGGCTCCATGATATGATGCAACCTGCCCATCTAGCCCCACTTCCCGTCTCTGCAGAAGGTACAGATACAGTGACTTTTTTTCTTGTGTTTGAATATGCATTATTTTTTTCTGACCTGCGGTCTTTGATAGTGTCTGCTTTTCAACTTAGAGGTTCTAAAATGTGAGATCAGATCCTTTAAGTTCAAACAGGACTTGCTCCATGAGACTAGCATTCCCAGACTGAAAACTCTGTATTAGTAACCTTTATGTCAAGAGTTACAAGCATCACATTGCATGCTTTATGAAAATAAAATATTGATTTGTGCTTTTACCCTTTCAGCAGCCCAAAACACAAGGTAACACACTTCTAAAGAAGAAATTCTACCCACTACAGCACTTTCATTATTCTTTTGTAATTTGAGGCATTAACAATACTGAAAGTAGATACCTAAGCAGAATAATCTCTAAAATGATTCCCAGGGAGCCATGTGCAATTGAAGTCTACAATTAACAAACAAGGCTTTGTGATGTCAGGTCTGCATTTGTCCATGAGCTTCAGGACTTCCCAATTCCTAATACACATGAGAGGATTGAATTATCATGACTGTGAAAATTGGAGAAAACAAAACTTCCCTATAACAGCCTCTTAGAATGTGGCTCCCACAACACCCTGAATAAATGTTGCAAACTATGAAGCAACACATCTCTGTTCTCTGATATATTTGAGAAAAAAAGAACATTTAGGTGAGATTTCATTTTTATAATCAGACAGAACACTTCTTCATATTGTACTTTTACAAAATGTGTTTGAACTTAGATTAAAGGGTATACCTTCAGAGAGTGAGCACTAAATTTGACAGAAATTTAAGCTATCTTTATCTTCAGTATACATAACCAAAGACCTTGTATAACTCCTCACTAAGATCAGAAGAAATTTTTTCTTTAAGTACACTAATTTCCTGGATGCCAAGTTTAAGGTTTTGTTAAACATGGCATTGGAACATGTTATATGTGTGTGTATGTAAAATGTGTATATGTATGTGTATGCATGTGTGAATTATCTATATGTGTATATGTATGTGTGTGTGATGTGTATATGCATGTAATGTATGTATTTATTTGTGTATATATGTGTGTGTCTGTATAAGTGTGCAAGGCATCTAAAAATAGCATTAGTGGCCTCTAAGGATAAACAACTTATTGATTCTATAAAAAAATTCACATTTTAGATATGACATAAATCTATGCAGTGCAATTTAAGGAGGTATTATCTTAAGTTGAGATTTGAATTGTTTCCTAATTTAACTTGTATTCTGTTAGATGAAGATGTGTGTTCTGATGAATTGGTGGCACATACCAGTAATCCCAAAGCGGCGGCAAAAGAGGAATCTTGAAGCAGAATTACATTTGAAGCTCTTTGTAGCTACACTGGCAAACTTCTTTAAATTTTAAGATATTTGTTGCTGTCTAGTGTGATTGAATTCAAGGGAGTCAACTTCCCGTCTTTTAATTAATTGTAGTCTTATTCATAATAAAATGACTAATTCAAGAAAATGTGAAAACAGTTCCCTTTATTTATATGAACCATATAGGATGGCTGACAAATATAAGCTTGAAAATGAAGGGTACTTATGTAAGTCATCCAGAAATTTGACCTTTATTTTACTAACCATCCATACAATGAAAACATTCAGACAATTTATTAACTTTATTTTATTTTATTTTTTCCTGTGGACACAATTTATACTATTATTAATGGACACAATGAAAGGGTATTTTGTGAAATGTATGCATTTGATTATCAAGATTTACTCAATCCCTTGTACTTAGAGAGATTCATTCCTTAAAAAATATATAAATACCAGTTACTCCTGGTATTTTTATATGTGTTTTGATAGCATTTGTTTGCCTAAGAACTAAAGAAAAAACAGTGAGTAGGTGAAAAATTATTAATGTATGAAAAGGTATATATTTATAAGTTGAGGTAACTGATCCTTTACCATTTTTGGGTTATGTCCGTGTAGCACACTCAGGCCATTTAACTAATCTCCTTGATTATTTACCTTTCAACAGATTTAGAATGTGACAAGTCAAGCATCTGATAACACAGTGGAGTAGTTCAACATCCATCTCTGCTTCCCATGCTGGTCTCAACAGTGTAAGTATGTGTTCACCTTTTCTGGTCAGCTTGGTGGTGTGGAAAATGGATTCGGTTTGAAATTAGAGATATTGCATATTGTTCTGGAAAATCATAAGCTAAAACTCATTCAAAATATAATGAATTTAGATTATCTGATCTAAGAAAATGTTTTGTAAATTTAGACTTAATACTATTTCAAAGTTATAGCATGAAGTAATTGTTATTGGAAAGTAATATACTGGCATTCAATGACATGTGATATCTTTAAATTTTTAAACTCTTTAAGTATCTTTGTTCCTAGAAAGAAAGCCATAAACATTACTTTTAGAAGATGTTTTGTTATGTTCTAAAAGGTTCCTGAAATGTCTCTGGTAGATGTAATTTGCAGTGGAATTTTAAGGTCAAGTCAGTTTCTTTTTTTTTTCTATTTTGTTCTCTAGTAGCTCTCAATTGAAAATGTGTTTAATAATATTTACTAAGTGATAGTTATATCAAAAAGTCATTTTCGGCTTAGTAAGTTCAATTAAAAGAAGAAGAAAAGTAGTCAATACAGAGATAAATAGTTTTTACTGTTCATTTCTCAGGACTGAAAAATAAAAGTCTGGTGTAATGTTGGTTTATTTTTTTTGAAGAAGTATTAAGCTTATGCAATGATAAAATGATATTAATATTTAACAAAAACCTAAAAAATAGAATTCTGAATGTTTATTCATAAGGAAATGATAAATGTTTGAGGCAATACACATGCTTAAACTACTTTGAACACAACAAAAGTTATACTAATATAAAAATAAAATAATATCAATTAAATGTGTTTTATTTTATGTGCTGATTAGAAATATAAAATATTTTCAAAGTAAAGAAACAAAAGCCAAGAAAGTCTAAGAGGACATTAACTTACTCGCAGGAGTGGGGAGAATGAGCATCCCAATCCTTTCTCCCAGAAAAATGTAAGCCCAGGACTATAGCACTTCCATTATTCTAATACAAACTTACACCATCCTCAAGGTACCAGGAAAGGCTCTCTTCCAACAAGCTTTCTGGAATCCACATTCTGAGCCTTGCTAACTTGTTCTCCCAGACCTTTTCTGGGCAGCTCCTGTGTGCGGTAATAACTGTTCACTCATAGAGTAGAAGATCCTGAGACTTGTTCCTTCTGCATGGAAGCAAGCCTGGATACATGAGTAGATTTCAAGTGTTGGCAATGGTAATAGAATTGAATTTTTCTTGTGACTACATTAAAATTATAAAATGAGGCAAGTGAGCTATATTTTAACATTGTGTTTTATTTCATCCACTATAATCAAAATAGAGGTTTTTTTTTTTTTTTTTTTTTTTTTTTTTTTTTTTTTTTTTTTGGTTTTTTCGAGACAGGGTTTCTCTGTGTAGCTTTGCGCCTTTCCTGGAACTCGCTTTGGAGACCAGGCTGGCCTCGAACTCACAGAGATCCGCCTGGCTCTGCCTCCCGAGTGCTGGGATTAAAGGCGTGCGCCACCACCGCCCGGCTAGGTAGCATTAGGTTCATGTTAAAGATTTTCAGAGAGTTTAAAAAATTCTTCACACTAACTTTTTGAAATCTAGTGTGTACTTATAGCACATCTCAATTAAGATATTACTTTTCATAATTTAGTATGTATGTCCTTGAGTGTGTGTGTGCATGTTAATGCATGCATGCATGTACACATATATGCCCTTGCACCCTTGTTTAGCATATAGAGGCCTAAGAACAACCTTCAGGAGTTTGTTTGTCCATTCCTCCTTGTTGAGGCAGGATTGTTGCTGCTGTGTGTTCCTAATTCCAGCATAGCTGGCCTGCATCTTCCAATCTTGTGTGAGAGTACTAGGTGTAAAGATCTATGCTATCTCATCAGAGTTATTTTGTTTGTTTATTTGTTTGTTTGGGCTGGACGTCTGGGATCAGAATCAAGTATAAGGCTTTAGAAGTAAGTGCTCTTACTTCCGAGCCATCTAACTTGCCTTCAGGTACCTTTTTTTCTTTCTCCTTTCTTTCTTTCTTTCTTTCTTTCTTTCTTTCTTTCTTTCTTTCTTTCTTTCTTTCTTTTTCTTTCCTTTCTTCCTTCCTTCCTTCCTCCCTCCCTTCCTCCCTTTCTTTCTTTCTTTCTTTCTTTCTTTCTTTCTTTCTTTCTTTCTTTCCTTTCTTCCTTCCTTCCTTCCTTCCTTCCTCCCTCCCTTCTTCCCTCTCTTTCTTTCTTTCTTTCTTTCTTTCTTTCTTTCTTTCTTTCTTTCTTCCTTCCTTCCTTCCTTCCTTTGTACATTCTTAATCAATCTGGGGAAATAAAAAATTATAATAAAAAGTAGATTAATAAACAATTAATAAACACAATAAACACATATTGAAAATGCTTTAGAAAATAAAGTATAATTTTTGAAATTAACTTGTTCAATCCTACCAATCATATTTCACTTAAATTTCAGTCCCGCTAATCACATTTTACTACTTAACAGTAGCATGTGGCTAATAGCTACAGTCCAGCACAGCTCTGCCTCATAAGACTGTTGCTCCAAGGCTGACTTCAAAAACACCCAGAAGGAGCAAATAATCTTAGTGTTTCTATGAGTTTAAAAAAGTTAAATCTTAAATCTCTGACTTAAAACAAGGATTACTAGATTTACATAGTTTATGAGAAAGTCAGCCTAAGAAGTTATACCTTTTCAAGCATGGTGAAATTGGAGGGGGGGTTAAATTTTGACTTGGTGTATATACTCTGATACTCTGATATTATAAAGAAATTGGCCTTAAATATGAAATATAATATTTTAAAATGTTTCCAAAGATTCATAGAAGGATTAAATAAGTAAGCTGAAGATTTATAGATCACATCTCTATTAAAAGAATTGATAAAGAACTTGTAACACAATAGAATATGAATTTCTCAATTTAAAAGTGCATAAAATGTCAGAATTTTACCTTGTATTTATATCTGGCTAATAAGTACCCTGAAATACTGTTATACAAATACTGAAATGAAAATCTGGCACTATGGAATATTAATAAGCATTTATAGCTGTGAAGACTTTCATTCATTGTTATTGAAATTCAAACTGGGACAGCACTCTAGAAAAGGGTACTTCCTTTTCTTATGTAGGTAAATACAGATGCTGGAGCTATAGCAACAGTCCAGTGAACCCACTGTAAGTGAAACATGAGCAGCTGAGAAGCAGAGAATAGAAAAACACATCATCATGAGGGTATCATAACCTCTACATCAGTGGTTCTCAACCTTCCTAACACTGTGACCCTGTAATACAGTTCCTCATCTTGTGGTGATCCCCAACCATAAAATTAATTTCATTGGGACTTCATAACTGTAATTTTGCTACTATTATGAATCATAATGTAAGTATCTGTTTTTCAATGGTCTTTGGTGATCCCTGTGAGTGTTCTTTGACCCCCCTCAAAGGGGTCATATTCCACAGGTTGAGAACTGCTACTCTCCACTAAAACATGGTCAAAATTTGGAATACAGTTTCTTATACTGATATTTTGTATGTGCTCTAACAAATAAAGCTTGTCTGAAGATCAGAGGGCAGAGCCAGCCACAGAGAAAACAACTCACAGCCATTAGCCATAGAGGTTGGGCAATGATGGAACACACCTTTAATCCTAGCACTCAGAGGCAGAGGCAGACAGATCTCTGTGAGTTCAAGGCCACCCTGGACTACAGGAGATTAATCCAGACTAAAAGAGAAATAGTGTCAGGCACTGATGGCTCACGCCTTCAATCCCAGTACTTGGGAGTCACACGCCTTTATTCCCATCACTAGGAAGGCTGAGATGGGAAGTGATATGGCTGAGCAGAGAAAGGAATATAAGGCAGGTGGAGACAGGACTCAGGGGCATTCAGTTTCAGGATTTGTGGATACAGAATCTTCTCCTTTCAGCTGAGGATTTCGTAGAGGTAAGAACTAGTGACTGACTTCTTTCCTCTGGTCTTTCAGTATTGTCCCCGATATCTGGCTCCAGGTTTTTATTAAGAAGACCAATTAGGATTTGTGCAACAGTTTCCACCACCTGGACATTACTTTTAAAGTGCTCTAAACTGTCTAAGATCACAAATGGAACTATTATAATTAGAAATAATTTATATACCTCATTACATGACCCAATAATTCCATTTCTATGTAATTACCCTACTGAAAAGAATACTCATTTTACTAGAAATGTGTGTAAATATTTATAGCAACTTAGTATTTATTCATAAAAATTTGGAAATAACCAAATGTTGTTAGGTGCAGTAACACATGCCTGTAACTCTTGTACTCAAGAGTCTAAGGCAAGAGAAAATGTCAGATTTTTACCTTGTATTTATAGAGGGCAGTGTGGAAAGTTCAAATCCAGCTTGGACCCATACAGTGTACCTTTGTTTCCAACAAACAAACAAACAAATAAACGCTGTATTTAACTGCTAAACTGAAGAACAAACTGGAATATCAATAGCATATTATTCAACTATAGAAAAGAGCTATTGATTTCATGTCTATAATAAACATTTCTATTTTCTTTTCAATACTGAGAAATGAATCAAGGGCTTTGTGCTTGCTCTGCCACTGAGCTGTCTACAAAGGGTCCATATATAAATCCCAAATCCATCTCTGCAAGTAAAACAGGGAATCCCCAAATGTCTAAGTACTGTGTGATATCAAGTGTCTAAATTCAGAAAAAAAAGGCAAAGCTGAGACAGAAAGAATCATTATATATTTGAATGTTTAGAGCTGTTAGTATTTTGTTTTTACTCATCCACACCCCTGTTTCCATCATAAACCCTATTTCATTTTGTTCATGACTTTGTAATGGTTTCATTAAGAGGTTATTCAAAAGTTTATTTGTGTGTGTGCTGTGCATTTCTGCTCTGCTGTCTGGTGAATAATATGCACTTACAATGCTTGTGTTGAATTTCTAAGCACATTTCCATGAGGCACACTTTGTTTTCAATTAAGAAAAACCAGAGTTTCTTAAGAAGATAGCAATTTCAGGAGTAATTGGAAACCTGGGAAAG